CTTTATGCCATGACTTTGGGGTATCTTACTGTATTCCCCTGGTAGGTTTCCTGCTGCACGGCTCTGCTGATCCTCTCACTGCCCGGCTGGGAGGAGCTGTACTGCTGCCCTGCTTTGCCGACAGACCCCTGCCTTTGGAGGAGCTGGAGGTGGAGTGGAGAAGGACTGACACAGACACCATCTTGCACCTATTCCTGGGGGGTCAGAGCAGACCTGAATCGCAGGGGGATGCCTACAGGGGCAGAACCCACTTACTCCCTCAGGAAATCCCCAAAGGAAACTTCTCTCTGCTGCTGCAGGATGTGGGGGCTGCAGATGCAGGAGTGTACAAGTGTGTGGTTTACAGAGAGCAGGAGCGCCATGAAACACGGGTGCGAATACAGGAAGTAGGCAAGTGAGCCCTTCTGTGTCACGGTCAAAGACACATGGCATTGTATCATTATTACTTATGTCTGGAGTTTCTCATTCTGTTGGTGTATCTGGTGGGAAATTTAGCTGCTTTGTAGAAATTAAAATTCACTTGGTTGTACTTTATAAATGTTTTATTTGATCTTTGGTGTGAAGTTCTGACATTTAATTTTCAAACAAAAATTACTTGAAATAAATTTATATGAGGTTCCATGCTCCTAATTGGCAAATTTAAAAAAGTGATGTATTTTAAAATGAAATCAGCCCAAAATCTCTGAGTTTCGTCCGTAACCAGGAGGGGAAAACACAGCACTGACAGGCTGCCAGGTTGCCAGGTTGTGTGAACCTTCCTGCTCTTGTTCCAGAGCGGCTGGTGGTGACGGGTGCAGACGAGCCGGTCTATGCACATGCTGGGGCGGATGTGACTCTCAGCTGCACTGTGGGGACCCATGTCAGTGTGACAGAGCTTCAGGTGACATGGATAAAGACAGACGGTGACATCTTGGTGCTGCTGTACGCTGATGGAAAGAGCAGACCAGGGACTCAGCATAAGAATTACGCTGGAAGAGCTGAATTCTTCGCTGCAGAAATTCCCAAAGGAGACTTCTCAATGAGACTGAGGGAATTCAGGACTGAAGACGAAGGAGAGTTTATGTGTGAAGTCCAGACAGATGCTGATTCTGCCAGTACGACTGCCAGGATAGTAGCACTGGGTGAGTCACTGGAAGGACTGGTTTTAATAAGCATTCCAACATAGTTTGTGTGATTAAATGACTCCTGAGGGTTGGTGGTTCTGCTGTAGACTGATTATTATCCACATGCTCTCAGTCTAACTGGGTTTACTCTGCTAGTGTAACAATAAAAAAGGTCAAATTCAGTCATTTACTCTGTATACAGAGCTCACAGAAACTCTTGGGATTTTTGCTTAAGTCAGGAAAAATATTTGTTGGTTTCATAACAAAAATCATTCATGTATTTTATTTTGTTTTTCAAAATATATTTTACATTATACCACTAATTTTGAGTAAAACACTCATTTTAAGTAGTTATAAGTTGAAACACAAATTATAAAGAGCTGTTCTGAGTTTTAAAAAAATTCAATGACAGTCTCACTTATTTTTATTTAATAACACCTTTGCAATAAGAAAACACCAAGTATTTGTGTTTAGTATGTCTTTTTTTTGGGGGGGGGGGGGCAGTGACTACAATTGCAATTTATAGCAAAATGAGAAGAACACACGGAAGAGGATGAGGGCCACCATGAAAATATTATTTGAATTCTGACTTTAATGTCAGAATTCTGACTTTTTTTCTAAACTCAGAATTCTGAGAAAAAAGTCAGAATTCAAATAATATTTTCATGGTGGCCCTAATCCTCTTCCGTAAGAACAGAACTGAGTGAGTCATTAAAAAAATGATGACAGGAAGACGTGCAGATATGTTAAACATTGCTTGTCAATTGACGTCTCTTATGAAACCAATACTTTGCAGTGTGTTTACAGAATTAAGCAAGTGTCCCGAGACTTTGTGAGATCACTGTATGCAAACATAATATAATGAATGAATGAATATTCTATTCAGGCCTCACATTTAGTGCATAGCTCATTTTATTAGGTTGGTGTAGTGTGGTGCATAATTATGGTTATATTATTATTTAATAATTTAAGATTGACAAAAAAGTGATAACTGTGTACTTTTATTAATTGTGCTTGACAATGTTTGACTGGGTAAATAATTAAATTATTCTCTGCAACATAAATTTATCAAAACCACATATGAGAATATGAAAAATCTTACATTTTAATAAACATGTTTTAAAGGCTGAGCAGCAGTTAGTAATCACACACCTGTGGAAAAAGATTTATTCCTAAATTTCTCCTCCAGTTTGTGAGGCTAACTGGTGGGTCGGACGTGCGGATTATGCTGCAGGACGGATACCAGCCTGTCTGAGAAAATGATTAATGGGATGTAATTCTGACCTTTTTTAGAGTATTCATCCCTGTATCGGTTGAATCTGGGGCTGTGCATCGCTGTCACACCTGTAGTCCTACTTACTGGTATTTTCTCCATCTGGCATTTTATAAAGGAAAGTAAGTAATTTTGAAATATATTGTTTTATTCCAAACTTTGTAAAACTTGTCAAACTGTGAAGTGTCCACTCTGGGCGCTTTTCCACCGCACAAAGTACGGTACTTTCGGTACTTTCGCTTTTCCACTGACTTCCGGTCGAGTACCAGTACCGAAATCTCGAGTACCGAAAGTGCCAAAGCAGTTGGGGTACTTCTTTGGTACTTCGGTACCTTGTAGGTGGGACTTGCAAACGTATTTGCTGTCGATTGGTTATGCAAATAGCCTGCCGCTGAAACACAAAATACAACCGCCATCTTTTGAAACACACAGCGAACAGAGCGATCACAGCGAGAAACAAAATAAAAAGCAGTAGAAACAAAATATAAAAAAGTAAAATGGAAGAATGGACAAACGAGGAAACACAGGCTTTAATCGCCATATGGTCGGATGAACAGATCCA